AAATGTTCGCTGTGCTCGCTCTGGCCGCTCTGTTCAAAGTGACCAGTGCACCAGGTAAATTACCCTACATTCAATACTAGGTATTCTATACATAGACAATACGTACTGGACAAACAGGTTTACAACACATTACATCACATCCGCTCAGTACCTTACTCGCATTTACGCGTGCTATTTCCGCGCCCGCGCTAAAAGTTTTGCCGCAATGCGTGACGTACAAAATTACACGGAAGGCTGATTTCCGTTACATACGAACGCGTATAGCTAAATACCACAAATATATTAAAAGTAATAATGACAAATAATGACACTACTACATATCTGTAAAATAATTTGAAACATACCGGTACACATGAATGATTATTATTTTGCTACCACATTTCCCTCCCATAAAATAAGTTTAAATGGTGAACCTAGTGCAATACGCCATTATCAAGTGTGCATGTGTGACAAAATTGACGATATTACCCTGGCTATGCTGTATAGATATGGAACGTGATGGTTACGTTCTCAGCTTGCGTGATCATTAACCCTAAGAAGGTAAAAACAGATTTATCTTTTCCGTAGAAAAAGTGGAATTGCACCTTCCAAGTGTAGGAGAAAAAGCTGTCCAAACACCAATAGCTAACAAGAAATATTTGTTTTACAATGTTAAACTGGTTGCTACACAAAGGTGAAATAAAGATTAAAAGGTTTGTTTTCATTAGTAATTCTGTAAAGAAAATGAACGAAATGAGTGATAACCTAACCTTGAAATTAATTATGCATTTCCAGCAGTACAAAGTGTAGGATATTTCCAAAGCCTGTGATTTATTACTGGTATGTATTTTTCAGACTGCATAGAATGTATGGCTTGCTCTGACAACACAATTAGAGCTGGGCTGACGTCTAAGTTACGTGATGTTGAACTTTTGTGTGAGATGCTAGACTATACAAGCAATACCGTGGCCCAAACCAAGTTCAGACCTATTAAACGAGGAGATGTGACCTACTATAAACCAGATGTTGAGGACTTCATGGTGACTAAAGTCGAGGTAAATGTTGTATATCTTGGGGCCCTTACCCCGGTGCTTGATTTTTTTTTTTTTAAAGTAGTAGTATGATGTGTACCATTATTTGCTGTCATGATAAATGCACCTTTATCACCGAGGGTGGAAAGGTTAAATGGCAGCAAAAAATACCCAATATGCAGCATTTGAATTTGCTAAGAGAGCATGAACTGATACATATTCCTTCGTTTTTAACATACCTGTGTTTTTTGCTACTAGGTGCCAGCTGACTGTACCAGTGGGGTACTTCACAGTATAGACAGTGCTAGCATCTGTATCATCATTGAAGGTGACGGTCAGGCTTCCTCCAGCACATTGGTCAATGCCTTGGACTTAAGCAAGGGATCCGTCTTCTTCATCGCCGCTAATGAGGAAGTCCATCTCACAGTCAGCTCACAGGGAATGCTGGTGTTCCGAGCTTCATACAATGTCAAGATACCTTCGGCCTAATCAACACAGCAGTCTCATAACTACTTCTCTAACAATATAGGTCCCAAGAGGATAGGGAGAAACTTCGGGGTCTCCTCCCAAACCCAACTTACAAAACCTACAAAAAGTAGTGTGGTTTTCGGTTATTTTCGATTTTAATATATTTTTTTCATATATTTTTGATGTCTTGTAATCTCAATTTTATAGATTTATTTCAAAGGGCCAAATTCTTACTGCCTTAAAACCTCTGGATCAATCTGCAATGACAAAGAAGGAGCAGATTTAAATATATTGTATTGAATTCTAATATTTAAAATGTATTGAGTTATAACAGTAGGGGACTGAATCAGTGTGACAAGATGGGCTGTAGAAATGGTTCTGTCATACAAGTAAGGTTGATAGATAAAGTGCTAACATATACTACCTGGTTCAAACAAAATAAACGATTCTGGTCTTATTACGATCTATTGTAGGTTTCCATTGTTTCCGGTTTAAAAAAACAGAATTAGGTCTTTTCCAGTTGTGATTATATTGGTAGTAGTGGGGCCCCCTGTCCCTTCAGTTTATATTTATATCTGGAATAGCACTTACAAACGTATCACCATAGATGGGAGATGCTCTATTGTTTGATTAATGTTGAGCTGTTTGAAATAGATATAGTTATATTAACATGCTTTATTTAGGTACAGTCATGTACTAGATATTATGTGCAATTTGCTTGTTGTCAAATCATGTTTTGCTTGTGAGTAATGTACAAGGGTTTGTGTTTATGCCATCGCCATATCCGTTTAAATCATAAAATGTTTCATAATTCTCTTTGAACATTGTAAACTTTGAAAAGGTCCCAATTTATGACACATGTAGTGCTAACTCTTTTTATGATATTTAATGATAGATTCCTGGTACAGGATTTTGTATCCTCTACACTAGACTCAAAACATAACAATTGTAGTATAAATATAGGATCTTACATGAGTTTCCATTTCATATGAGAGTCTAAGAATTTTTCAATTTAGCGAGCCTCTAAAATGAAAAATTTGTGACGAGTTTCATAAATTTCATATGAAATGAAAACTTACAACCAATCACAGGGCTGATAGGTCATATAATATGGTTTGATACGCAAACAAATATGGCATGGGTATATTCACCAGATAACACATTACATTATGTGATAAATAAAAATTATTTGATTGTAACGACACTGCAGTTCATAAACTAGCTCTGTGCACTATCAGCATATAATTTGATGTATGTATTCATAGAAATGAATGTCAGTGATAGATTTTTAAAGGAGATTATTGTTACTAATTCTGGAATAACCTTACTATGTTTTGAGATTTGTGGCTCTATATCAGAATGATTTGGCTGTCACAGTTTTACTGACTCAGATCTCAAAATCGCCATCCAGTTTTTAAGTGCAAGTGAAAAATGTTTAGATGGTGTATTATGGTTATACGGTTGCAAACTATTTTGATTGTCCAATCAGATGATGGGGAGCATCTCAGTTGAATTATAATGTGTCATATAGGCACAAGTTTCTACTCACTGCTTTATTCATTAACTGCCAAAAATATTCCCTTTCAGAGATATCTATGTAAACAGTTATGTTTATTTGTGTTAGAATATTTGTTTTTTTATTGAAAGATTCTAATTAATTTTGATATAGATGGTCTTTGTAACAAATTGTTGTCATTTATGGTAATAAAATCAATTATGCCTCCTACCAGCCCCATAACTATAATTACAAACAATGACATAAACCTAAAAAATACTAAGTTGGGGTATCTTTTGCAAGAAATCTCACATTATGTGATTCTGGTTTTTCATCATACTAAATAAATTTTACATTCAAACCTGCTCATATGGCCACCTCAGTAAAGAGACCACCTGTGTTAAGAGACCACTTTTAATGTTCCCTTTCATAGGGATTGTATTGTAAACTAAAACTGTATTAAGAGACTGTGTAAAGAGACTGTTTTCCCTTTCATAGGGATCACCAGTTTTTGGATTTCCAAAGAATGATAATTTAACACAGGTTTGTTATTGTATGATGAGTGTAAAATCTCCACAACTCCTTACTTACATGACACAGGTCACATGTTGCAACTTAGCTTTGAAAGTGGTATAAAGTGTTTCACATATACACATATTTAAAGAAAGATATATAAATCAAAAGTGAAAACAATAATAGTATATGGATTAGTAGTACCAGAAGCACACCTTATATTTAATTATTTTGTATAATATATTATGTATATTCACCTGTTATCTGTACACTATATTGTATGTGTATTCTACACAATGCCTTGTTTAGTAATGTATGAAGGAATCTTTTAAAGAGACCCTTTAACATACAGTTTGGTGCAATTGGTTATTGTACTGGAATAATTTCATGGATGCTACAAGTTAGTAACACTATGGGTGCTGGTTTAGCTCAGAAGCTTCAGTTTTGAGTAAGAGAGAAGAATAGTTGTTGATTGTACTAGAATATTTTGGGAGATGCTGCTGTTAACATTATGGGTGCTGGTACATGTGTTAGATCTGTTAAATCAGTTCTGTAAATTAAAGGGCCTGTCGCACACTACCAATATACCTCGCCGAGACTAAACCGGAGCAAAAAAATAACAACAGCGAGAAATTCGGTAGAGCTCCGGCAAGAAAGCACTTGAAAAAAATTAAAATTGACTGTAGCAATACAGATGTAGTACCGGCGTTCCCGTTGTGATACCATTGTTCTAACGATGTAAGAGCTGATGTGCTACTGAATACCACTTTTCTGACACCTCAGTGTTACTGATGAGCCGCCGATGTTCTTAGCGATGTGAAACCATTGCGCTGCCGTACTAGTACTGATCCCCGTTAATTGACAAATTTGTGCTCCGTCATAGCCCCCGCGACCCAAATCGGCTAGTTGTGATAGGCCCTTTAGTAAGAAGATTAGTTTGTTAGTTGGATGTACTTAATCATGACCATAGTTGTAGTAATATATTTAGTATATCATATTTTACTGCTGGTTGTTTTAATATAGATTAATATTCCTTAATTTCAATTTGGTTATGTAAATAGGGCACGATTGCAAATGTCAGGTGTCAATCATATCTATTGATTTAATGCAAGACAAACATTTGTATAATGATCTCAGTTAATTCAGGAAAACCATTAACAATGTTTACTCATTTACCCCTGAAGGTACATTTGAACTCTTCCAATTCAAAGGTTAGAATAGTTCATTATGAAATTTCAAGGGTGAATGAGTTTATAAAATGTATATAATTTAAGAGGGAAATGGTAGTTATAATGCTAATATAATGTATAAAGGGAATTGGTACTGATGTTATTCATTAGAATAATACTCTAACATTTTTGTCACTCTTCCCTGAATTAACTGGAACACCAGTCATGAAAATATGGTCATAGCAGCAGATATACTGCCAAAAGGGAAACTTTCGCCCTTCACCTATAAAATCAACTTTCGCCCGTTTTTAATATCATATTACCAAAGAAGGCAAAAGTTGGACGGCGGCAGACATTTCCCGTTCTACACAATGGGTCAGTAGTTATAGTGATTTTCATCTGCTGGAATTGGTTATAGATACTTGCTGGATCAGGCTAGGGATGTTTTTTAAAATAATGGTGAATTTCTTGTCTGCTTATCATGATCATGTTCTATAGACAAATCTTATCAATATTTAACTCAATGATGTCTTAGCCATAGTCTGCTCTAATATGCCTCATATTGCACAATCAAATAATATTTATAAGATGGCATTTAAAACCAAATACCTCTATATAATATATTATAACACCTGTGCTATATAGTTTGTATCCAACAAATAAACAGAAAATATTGGACCTAAATGATCTTTCATATTATATCTACTGATTTGCTATTACAACTTAAGTGATGGTGAACCAGTTATCAAAATATCAGTAACTGAAAAAGATTTTATACTGCAACAGTCTCAAAGCCTTAAGTTACTTCATTTACAAGGAAATTTATCAATTTTACCCCCAAAATTCCTCCAGAGATATTCAGGTGTCTGCATAAAAAGTGATATTTTGAAATCATTTAAATATATATAGACATATCAGGGATATTCGAAGAATTGGTAGACAATTTTCTGATAAACTTGTACACTGTGTACTCTGCCGGTGTACTGGACCATGGACATTTTATTGTGAGGATTATGTCCCTTTAATGATGGCTGTGGATTAATGTGAAAGGCTGATGCATTACTTGAATACGTAAAATTTCCTTTGATGACACCCATGGTTCTCTCTGTTTTCTCTCTGGCGTTTTCTCAGAAACGTTCCCCCTGTCTTCTAAAAGGTTGACTTTATATTATATTTTCATGTTATTTGAGAATTTTTGGTTTATTTTGTTTAGGAGACATCATACCCTGACCATATAGTATAATAAACTGGAATGTGTACGCGGTGACACGAGTTTGTTATTTATTGTAGTCTACTTTGGTGATATGAGTTTGATATTTATTGAAGTCTGCTTGAATTGGGTTTATCTTTCTGTTAACAGCTAGGGTATGTAGGACGTTCGGCCAGTTGTTAAATTACTGTACAAAACAACGAAAATGGGACTCAGAGAAGTTTCCATGGAGACAGAACAGATGTGGACAATATATGGACATAATGGCTATTCTCTAAACTCTCAAAAATATAATCTAAGTTTCTTCAGTAAAAGATTTATACAGATTACTGGAACTGTTTAACAACACTTATTTTACATTGGGTGTGGTATTAACACAAACACACAAATCTGACTCATTCCACTTCAACTTGGAATTCTTATCAAACGACATCCACAAGGGCTGCTTATAGAGCAGAGGTCCTGGAAACGGATTTTATTGAAACTGTAGATGAAATCAAAGAAGTCCTCTAATATTTTTCATGAGAATCTAAAAAAAGAAGGAAAAATATTTTTTAGTAAAACAGATTCGTGTTTTACACTGAAAGGTTTTATTTACATGAGCTTGTATAAAAGAAACTAGGAAAAGAATGAAAACAATCATTCTTTAAAAATGAACTCGCATTTATACAGATTGCCATTCTTTGGAAATAACCAGATAATTGATCTTTCATTCATATGATTGCGCTATACAACTACAAGATGAAGAAATCCTTCCGCAACGTGTGAAAACATTGACCTTGATATATGAAGTATTTGTGGTAACTTTAAACATGAAATAGATACTGAATGCACGGGGAAACACTGGCAACCCTTTATTTAATACAGAAAATGCATTTGGCGGTGCACACTAATTAATTTATTAATATATTTATTTATGATGGAGTGCGGGTGCCCCCTTAATGTAAATATCACTTTTTACATTAAGGGTAACATATATCCCAAATATTTCTATATTAAGGAGTGAACTGATTAAAACATTTTTTGGATCGTTTTACATTCAGGATTGCCACACTGTTTAAATGACAAAATCGTCAATTGAAGATTTTCAAATATATATGTATTATGGTTATATCCAATCTCAAATAAATATATGATTTTTCTTCAGATTATGGTGGTTAACTTATGTCTACTCTATCTCTTTACTAAGTCTGAAATATACTGATATCTTAACCTGTCCAAGATGAGGAGCAAACTGGTGATGTGCACCGGTGTGTTACAGATTTTAACCCGTGTGTTGGCACGTGACAGAAGAATCGCTCAAACGCCTAAGTAATGCATGCTTTTCCAATGGTCTTGAACTTTTTTACTTGGTTCACAGTACCAGGTGACTCATCAGAGCGATGGCGGGGTCATGAATTATCAATCAACGTCTAAAACGTTAGGAAAAATCAAATAGAATTCAATATAATTTGGCTAAAAACATGAACCTAGGAAATGATTTACGAAATTAGGTAAATAGTGTTAAAACATGAATCAGAAGAAAGGGACAGTGAAACAGTATATATATATTTTTTTATCTTAGGACGATAATTTACCGGCACCACATGTGGCGCAGGAAACGCATACCCTTCCGGAACACCTGAGCTCTCATCCACTTTT